TTGGATCAAAAGAAAGACAAAGATATCAGGCCAACTTTTAATAACGCACAACAAAAAGAGGCTAAAACAAGTCTTCAGGCTGGAAACATTTTACAAACGACACTCCAAAAAGTGTTTCATATAGAACCGTCAGCTGATAAATCAAAAACTTCCAAAAGTTCGAAACCTTCGTCTGGTCATGGTTCTGAATCTGAAGATGAACGAACCGTTTCAAAATTACGTTTTCAGAAGCTCAGTACTGGATCGCATGTTCACAATCTGCAACCCAAAAAAGTTTATCGTATTAATAATCTCTTGAAAGAACTTGGTATTCATGGACATTCTCCAATGGATGAAAAATCTCAAAATGAGGAAAATGCTACGAAAAAAAAATCGACGAAATCTAATTGTTCTGATGTTTCTTTGTCGGAAAAATATGGAAAGCCCCAGGAGGTTGTCGGTAAAGGTGTGTTTTATTTATTTACGTTTCATATCACATAAATTACATTTATTGACCACTAAGCCTGTATCGTTATTGTTCAGGTGCGTTTGGCATCGTCCGTGTTGCCCACAAGACAGAACCGAAAGTGCCGGGAGAAAAACTTTTTGCGGTTAAGGTTTTTTTTTTTTTTTTTTATTATAATCTTTGTTTGTTTTTCATTGGAGAATGTCTAAGAAACAAATTTCATTTTAATTCAAAATTATGGATTAGGAATTCAAAAAGCGCCATGACGAACCTCCAAAAAAATATATGAAACGCTTGACATCTGAATTTTGCATTTCCTCTTCCCTTCACCATATTAATGTAATTGACACAATAGATTTGCTTCAGGATACCCAGGGAAACTATTGCGAAGTTATGGAATATTGTGCTGGTGGAGATTTATATTCTTTGATTGTTTCTTCAGGTGGCTTGGAGGAAAGTGAAGCTGACTGTTTCTTTGGGCAATTGATTAATGGTGTCAAATATTTGCACGAGAGTGGTGTCGCTCATAGGTAGATAAGTTACTGAACTTATAGTGTGCGAAATATGGTTACTAACTATTTTACTTTCCAGGGATCTCAAACCTGAAAATCTTCTTCTCACCTCGACCGGATGTCTCAAAATCACGGATTTCGGAAATGGTGAATGTTTCAAGATGGCATGGGAAACACAACCTCATTTATCACGTGGGGTTTGTGGTAGTGAGCCTTACATTGCTCCCGAAACGTTTACTAGTAATTGGTTTGATCCAAGGCCTGTTGATATTTGGGCTTGTGGAATCATTTATATGGGGATGATCACTGGTAGACATCTTTGGCGCATTGCAAAAGCGCATGAAGATTGGAACTTCAAGACCTACTTAGAGTCAAGGGCACATGGAGTGTGTTTTTTAGCACCTTTTCAAATATTAACAGAAGTAAGTGGCAATATAAAATGTTTAATATTATATCTTTTAATAATTTTCACGTCTAAATGTCATTATAAATAGAACCGAC